TCCATTTAAGATATACCATTTTGAAATCGGACTTCAGTTAGAAAAGTTATGGACTTAGGAATGCAGGTTTTGGATCATTTTTTGGCAAAGCCGTTTTTCGGAAATTTGGAAAGGGTAACCATCATCAAAATGTGAAGAAAATCGATCCAAAATTACAAACCAAAGTTTGAATGCAGATTTTTAGGTAATTAGCACACGATCCATTTAAGATATACCATTTTGAAATCGGACTTCAGTTAGAAAAGTTATGGACTTAGGAATGCAGGTTTTGGATCATTTTTTGGCAAAGCCGTTTTTCGGAAATTTGGAAAGGGTAACCATCATCAAAATGTGAAGAAAATCGATCCAAAATTACAAACCAAAGTTTGAATGCAGATTTTTAGGTAAATAGCACACGATCCATTTAAGATATACCATTTTGAAATCGGACTTCAGTTAGAAAAGTTATGGACTTAGGAATGCAGGTTTTGGATCATTTTTTGGCAAAGCCGTTTTTCGGAAATTTGGAAAGGGTAACCATCATCAAAATGTGAAGAAAATCGATCCAAAATTACAAACCAAAGTTTGAATGCAGATTTTTAGGTAATTAGCACACGATCCATTTAAGATATACCATTTTGAAATCGGACTTCAGTTAGAAAAGTTATGGACTTAGGAATGCAGGTTTTGGATCATTTTTTGGCAAAGCCGTTTTTCGGAAATTTGGAAAGGGTAACCATCATCAAAATGTGAAGAAAATCGATCCAAAATTACAAACCAAAGTTTGAATGCAGATTTTTAGGTAATTAGCACACGATCCATTTAAGATATACCATTTTGAAATCGGACTTCAGTTAGAAAAGTTATGGACTTAGGAATGCAGGTTTTGGATCATTTTATGGAAAAGCCGTTTTTCGGAAATTTGGAAAGGGTAACCATCATCAAAATGTGAAGAAAATCGTTCCAAAATTACAAACCAAAGTTTGAATGCAGATTTTTAGGTAATTAGCACACGATCCATTTAAGATATACCATTTTGAAATCGGACTTCAGTTAGAAAAGTTATGGACTTAGAAGTGCAGGTTTTGGGTTATTTTTTGGAAAAGCCGTTTTTCGGAAATTTGGAAAGGGTAACCATCATCAAAATGTGAAGAAAATCGATCCAAAATTACAAACCAAAGTTAGAATGCAGATAATAAGCACACGATCCATTTAAGATATACCATTTTGAAATCGGACTTCAGTTAGAAAAGTTATGGACTTAGGAATGCAGGTTTTGGATCATTTTTTGGCAAAGCCGTTTTTCGGAAATTTGGAAAGGGTAACCATCATCAAAATGTGAAGAAAATCGATCCAAAATTACAAACCAAAGTTTGAATGCAGATTTTTAGGTAAATAGCACACGATCCATTTAAGATATACCATTTTGAAATCGGACTTCAGTTAGAAAAGTTATGGACTTAGGAATGCAGGTTTTGGATCATTTTTTGGCAAAGCCGTTTTTCGGAAATTTGGAAAGGGTAACCATCATCAAAATGTGAAGAAAATCGATCCAAAATTACAAACCAAAGTTTGAATGCAGATTTTTAGGTAAATAGCACACGATCCATTTAAGATATACCATTTTGAAATCGGACTTCAGTTAGAAAAGTTATGGACTTAGGAATGCAGGTTTTGGATCATTTTTTGGCAAAGCCGTTTTTCGGAAATTTGGAAAGGGTAACCATCATCAAAATGTGAAGAAAATCGATCCAAAATTACAAACCAAAGTTTGAATGCAGATTTTTAGGTAATTAGCACACGATCCATTTAAGATATACCATTTTGAAATCGGACTTCAGTTAGAAAAGTTATGGACTTAGAAGTGCAGGTTTTGGGTTATTTTTTGGGAAAGCCGTTTTTCGGAAATTTGGAAAGGGTAACCATCATCAAAATGTGAAGAAAATCGATCCAAAATTACAAACCAAAGTTTGAATGCAGATTTTTAGGTAATTAGCACACGATCCATTTAAGATATACCATTTTGAAATCGGACTTCAGTTAGAAAAGTTATGGACTTAGAAGTGCAGGTTTTGGGTTATTTTTTGGGAAAGCCGTTTTTCGGAAATTTGGAAAGGGTAACCATCATCAAAATGTGAAGAAAATCGATCCAAAATTACAAACCAAAGTTTGAATGCAGATTTTTAGGTAAATAGCACACGATCCATTTAAGATATACCATTTTGAAATCGGACTTCAGTTAGAAAAGTTATGGACTTAGGAATGCAGGTTTTGGATCATTTTTTGGCAAAGCCGTTTTTCGGAAATTTGGAAAGGGTAACCATCATCAAAATGTGAAGAAAATCGATCCAAAATTACAAACCAAAGTTTGAATGCAGATTTTTAGGTAAATAGCACACGATCCATTTAAGATATACCATTTTGAAATCGGACTTCAGTTAGAAAAGTTATGGACTTAGGAATGCAGGTTTTGGATCATTTTTTGGCAAAGCCGTTTTTCGGAAATTTGGAAAGGGTAACCATCATCAAAATGTGAAGAAAATCGATCCAAAATTACAAACCAAAGTTTGAATGCAGATTTTTAGGTAATTAGCACACGATCCATTTAAGATATACCATTTTGAAATCGGACTTCAGTTAGAAAAGTTATGGACTTAGAAGTGCAGGTTTTGGGTTATTTTTTGGGAAAGCCGTTTTTCGGAAATTTGGAAAGGGTAACCATCATCAAAATGTGAAGAAAATCGATCCAAAATTACAAACCAAAGTTTGAATGCAGATTTTTAGGTAATTAGCACACGATCCATTTAAGATATACCATTTTGAAATCGGACTTCAGTTAGAAAAGTTATGGACTTAGAAGTGCAGGTTTTGGGTTATTTTTTGGGAAAGCCGTTTTTCGGAAATTTGGAAAGGGTAACCATCATCAAAATGTGAAGAAAATCGATCCAAAATTACAAACCAAAGTTTGAATGCAGATTTTTAGGTAATTAGCACACGATCCATTTAAGATATACCATTTTGAAATCGGACTTCAGTTAGAAAAGTTATGGACTTAGAAGTGCAGGTTTTGGGTTATTTTTTGGGAAAGCCGTTTTTCGGAAATTTGGAAAGGGTAACCATCATCAAAATGTGAAGAAAATCGATCCAAAATTACAAACCAAAGTTTGAATGCAGATTTTTAGGTAATTAGCACACGATCCATTTAAGATATACCATTTTGAAATCGGACTTCAGTTAGAAAAGTTATGGACTTAGAAGTGCAGGTTTTGGGTTATTTTTTGGGAAAGCCGTTTTTCGGAAATTTGGAAAGGGTAACCATCATCAAAATGTGAAGAAAATCGATCCAAAATTACAAACCAAAGTTTGAATGCAGATTTTTAGGTAAATAGCACACGATCCATTTAAGATATACCATTTTGAAATCGGACTTCAGTTAGAAAAGTTATGGACTTAGGAATGCAGGTTTTGGATCATTTTTTGGCAAAGCCGTTTTTCGGAAATTTGGAAAGGGTAACCATCATCAAAATGTGAAGAAAATCGATCCAAAATTACAAACCAAAGTTTGAATGCAGATTTTTAGGTAATTAGCACACGATCCATTTAAGATATACCATTTTGAAATCGGACTTCAGTTAGAAAAGTTATGGACTTAGGAATGCAGGTTTTGGATCATTTTTTGGCAAAGCCGTTTTTCGGAAATTTGGAAAGGGTAACCATCATCAAAATGTGAAGAAAATCGATCCAAAATTACAAACCAAAGTTTGAATGCAGATTTTTAGGTAATTAGCACACGATCCATTTAAGATATACCATTTTGAAATCGGACTTCAGTTAGAAAAGTTATGGACTTAGAAGTGCAGGTTTTGGGTTATTTTTTGGGAAAGCCGTTTTTCGGAAATTTGGAAAGGGTAACCATCATCAAAATGTGAAGAAAATCGATCCAAAATTACAAACCAAAGTTTGAATGCAGATTTTTAGGTAATAAGCACACGATCCATTTAAGATATACCATTTTGAAATCGGACTTCAGTTAGAAAAGTTATGGACTTAGGAATGCAGGTTTTGGATCATTTTATGGGAAAGCCGTTTTTCGGAAATTTGGAAAGGGTAACCATCATCAAAATGTGAAGAAAATCGATCCAAAATTACAAACCAAAGTTTGAATGCAGATTTTTAGGTAATTAGCACACGATCCATTTAAGATATACCATTTTGAAATCGGACTTCAGTTAGAAAAGTTATGGACTTAGGAATGCAGGTTTTGGATCATTTTTTGGCAAAGCCGTTTTTCGGAAATTTGGAAAGGGTAACCATCATCAAAATGTGAAGAAAATCGATCCAAAATTACAAACCAAAGTTAGAATGCAGATTTTTAGGTAATAAGCACACGATCCATTTAAGATATACCATTTTGAAATCGGACTTCAGTTAGAAAAGTTATGGACTTAGGAATGCAGGTTTTGGATCATTTTATGGAAAAGCCGTTTTTCGGAAATTTCATCAAAATGTGAAGAAAATCGATCCAAAATTACAAACCAAAGTTTGAATGCAGATTTTTAGGTAATTAGCACACGATCCATTTAAGATATACCATTTTGAAATCGGACTTCAGTTAGAAAAGTTATGGACTTAGAAGTGCAGGTTTTGGGTCATTTTTTGGCAAAGCTTTTTTTTCTGTTAGAAAAGTTTTGGTTTACATGCAGATTTTTAGAGAATTAAATCGCAATCACTAAGAGGTAAATCGGATATAAGAAAAGTAGATGTGGAGTATTTGACACTTTTCTGCTACAATAAAAATTACGAAAAATCGAACTCTTTTAAAATCAAGTTTCTTGAGTTTTGTAGCACAAGTCTGCCCAATATGGTTTAAGTCTTTACTGTACTTCAACGATATATTCGTGGAATATTTGAATAACAAAAATCTAGTGTTGGTTATAGTTCGGTTTTGATTATCGGTTATCGATTGTTATTTTCCCTATGACTATTTAAAATATGGTATATTTTTCTTACTTTTCCGAGGTCACACTTGCGACCAGCGTTACCAGATCCAAAAGCAATCAATAGGGCAAAAGCAAATACATCAGAACCGAAAATATATAGCAATATATAGAGAGATATAATGGCGGCGCCGATGCAACACGAGGATCTGTTGAAGCTGAAGAGCTTTATAGAGTTTGTGGACTCGAATCCCACGGTTTTGAACATGCCGCAGCTGCAGTTCGTGAAGGATTTTGTGGAGAAGTTCGGGGGAACGGTGCCGGCTGGCGATTTCAAGATGCCCGACGCCTCCGCCGGAGGGTAAGTTGTCCAAATATATATGTACATATCCCCATTTATACCGTACGATATACACCAGCAATGCCTTTTTCTAACGTTTTTTCTTGGTTTCACCACCTCAGGAAGTGCCCATTTGGTGGCGATGCAGGTGCAAAGGCCAAGAAGCCGGCTTCTGGAACCGCCGATCCCACCGAGAAGTCCCCTGAAGACAGCGAGGACGAGGAGTCCCTTTCCGAACCCGAGTCGGACGTAGAGCTGGACATGGAGGGTAAGTGCAAGCTGGGGAATTTCGGGGGCTCAACCAATTTGCACCGGGCCAATTTCTGCCGAGTCACGTGGTCATTAAGGGTCACCACCCTGGGGTACAACGGGTACGATTGTTCCGCCGATTTGTTGGCAACCCTCGGAAACGGTGCTGTGAATACATTTTCCATGGGTTTGTTCCTTTGTCCCCACTGACTTAGCTTCAATTGAATTGGAAGCGTGCAATTTAACTTTCGACACTAGTTATTTTATAATCACTACTGCTATATGTGAATAACTAGGATTCTATATACGCTCGATCCAGTGAATCATTAGAAACCAACATTAATAAAAGAGCAACTAATGTTTATCATATCATCATAGAACGGCTAACGAATTCACTATGCTTTTCCGATTTAAAAGTCGCATATGCATGGTTTGGTTTATATTCTTAAGTTGGGTAAAAAGTATGGACATATATCAAAATCAAAATTACAACATCACAACTTGTTAACAGCTGTCTAAAATAAAAAAAAATGTTATTCAATGTTAAATTGAATTTAATATTAAATAAATAATAATAATAGTCTAATTGTTATAACAAGACCTTTTCATGATCATTTTTCTTAAAAAGGAAACCTTTTTAGGAAACGAAGAATTTTTAAGGTACACAGTTCAAAAGTAAATGATTTCATGTAGGCTTACAATTGTAATTACAAATAGTATTGTCATTGTTATTCCACAGAGGTGATTGGCTTAAAAGCAAAATGACTAAAGTATCTACAACCTTATCCCCCTCCAGGAGTGATCGAAGCGGACAGCGATCCCGCCCAGCCCATGGGCGACTCCGCCAAGGAGCCCACCGAAGAGGAGGTCGACCAGGCGGGCGATCTGCGTGCCCAGGCCGCATCCGCCTACGGCCAGCAGAAGTTCGACGAGGCCATCGCCCTGTACACCAAGGCCATCGAACTGAATCCGGGCAATGCCCTGTTCCACGCCAAACGTGGCCAGGCCTTCCTCAAGCTGAAGAAGCCGAATGCCTGCATCCGGGATTGCGACAAGGCGCTGGAACTCAACTGCGATTCGGCGGCCGCCTACAAGTTTAGGGGCCGTGCCCGTCGCCTCCTCGGTGACTTTGAACTGGCCGCCAAGGATCTGCGACAGGCGTGCAAGCTCGACTTCGACGAGGAGACCGACGAGTGGCTCAAGGAGGTGACCCCGAATGCCAAGAAGATCGAGCAGCATCGCGTCAAGCAGGAGCGCCGCCAGGCCGAGCGCAAGATCAAGGAGCGCCAGCGGGCTCAAAGGCGCGCCCGCAAGGAGCAGGCCAAGCAGAGCGCCAGTTCCGGAGGCGGTTCATCTGGAGGATTCCCCGGCGGATTCCCTGGTGGCTTCCCAGGCGGATTCCCCGGTGGATTCCCTGGTGGATTCCCCGGCGCAGCTGGCGGCGGAGGCGGTGGCATGCCGGGCATGCCTGGCGGCGTCGATATGGCCGATCTGATGGGCGCCATGAAGGACCCCGAGGTGGCCGCCGCTATGCAGGTAGGATTTTTAGAAATATGTAGCTATTATTAAAATGTTTCGAACCAAGAGACTCTTTTCAACTTACTTTAATATAACTTTCTTATACCTTATATTTATTTATGGGTATTCTAATTAAATAGGAACTAATGTTTTGTTTAACGTTTAATTTAAATATAATTTAATTGAAATGTAATAATTTATTTTCACAGGACATCCTTGGCAATCCGGCCAACATCACGAAGTACGCGTCCAACCCAAAGATCTTCAACCTGATCAAGAAGTTCGTGCCCGGAGGAGATTTGGGAGCTGCTTTTGCCCAAGCAGAGGAGAAATCGGGAGAGCCGAGCGAGCCAAAAACCAAGAAGGGATCCGCCGACTTCGTGGATGATGGCTTGGATTAGGGATCGGGACTCAATAAGAAACATAAAACACGCGGCGATGAAAATAAGTTAACAAACCACACACACGAAATAGAGCGAGATGAAAAATCGGGAAACAGAGAGAGAGAAATAGAGGAGGTTAAAGAAAGACACTAGGAAAAGAGGAAAGCTGCTGCCTTACACATTTTCCAGCTCAGAAATAACTTGAACATTTCCCTACGCTTTATCTTAAATCACATACAAAAGGAAAGGTCAGCAGAGCCGAAAATAAATATAAATAAAAGAAAAACTATACACACGCGCAGTCAGAAGAATAAGTAACTTTTATTCAAAATGGCAGATGAGAACATAAGAAAATAAAGTAGATGGAAGTGGCTCAACCCATCTTTGAACAGCTTTTTATTGGCCATAAAAGAAGAAAATACAACTAAAAGCTAAAATACTTTAAACAGCTATTTCCAATTTCCACATAAAAAGGATTCACACATGCCTACGCCATTATCAGTTCACAAAAAGATCAGAATGTGTCCTGTAAAGAAAATAACTATGAATGTTTCCTTACTAACATTTAAACGTCAAGTCATTGTCAAGTCTGTCGATCGATCTAGTTGAACTAAAGCTCGATAAGATACCAAAACAAAAAGAAATGAAAATATATTAAATAATTAGCCTTAATTAACGATACTCGGAGACATCAGATAACAGCCCGAAACATGGAATAACAAAAACTAATCACACCATTTTGTCAAACAAAATTGTACTGAGTAGGATTTGAATAATATTGTACTAAGCAAATGCATTTAGCCACTCGAAAAGAAAACATTCGCCCACTCATATTCATAAACACATACATGCATATGTCGAACATTCATTCAACCGTGATCAATGGAATTAAATAAACGAGAATCCGAAGTGCTAATGTCCCCTTTTCTTGGGTAACGGGTAAATTTAATCGTATTATTTTTTAAGTGGAGTATAAAGTACGTTTTATTGGTTTATGGGTCAAAGACAAGTAATTATTTTAAACATACAAATTTTCTGTAAGCAAAGTTTAGTCATCCAAAATATTTGTTAAACCATTTCTAAGATAGGTAGGTCACTTTGAAGACGCAATCGAAGTAGTCAAGTTATCAGTTCTAGAAGTGCAGTTTTGATTAACCTTTCTGCACCCTTTTAGAAACTAAACATTGGCTTGTTTAATTAATAACAATTTTATTTTAATATAAACATGATTGTGCTTATTGAACCAAATCAATTGATTCAGGTACACAACGTACTAACGTTGTTCTTGAAGTCGAACCTCATCCTAGTATAAAATCTACTGAATTGATTTGAATTTTATTACCCCTTTTCTTTACATAAACATTTCAGCAGGTAAAATAGATTTTTTTTGTAATCTTTTTTTTAAACAATTAAATTTTATTTTATCCCAATAAATATTCTTTTAGTACGTGTTCAAACAGATTCATATAAAACAGATTCATATAAAACAGCTATTGTCAATCTAACGATTAGAAAAATAGATAATATTTCTATAAAGTAATATTTCCATAAAAATGTAAATTTGTAAATAAAATAAATAAAAAAAAAATTTATTTTCTTGCTGATACTATAAAATCTCTTGAACTTTTGAGATATGTTCAAAGTTAATAACATAAAATCTCTCATTACTTTCCGTATAGTAGGGAAATGTGAATGATGTAAGATTTCGGATTATGTCACATAAAGTTAAGATATGCCATAACTTTTGCTTTCTTTTTTTTTGACCAGGTCGCACAGATGGATTCGTAGTCCCTGAAATCCAGCCGGTGCAACACCTGTGCGGGGACGGGGGTAAATGGGGTACATTGGGTGCATGGAGTGCACAAAAACGTCGTCGATTAGACGCTTGAATGGCTGCACCCTGCACTCAGAGCCCAGAACCTATCACCCTTCACCCCTCACCCCTCACCCTGCTCCCTGTCAGCGCGAAATTGGCTAACGGACAGCTCGGCGCACATGTTCGATTATGGCCGAATCGGGCGACCAAGCAGAACAATAGGCTCATGACTTGGACCTCAGAGGTGGGAAGTAACTAGGTGGGTGTACCTTCAGGTACTAATTGCCTTCTTTTTTTAACTTAGGTACATGTTTTTAATTTTCAGTTAATAGGTTTAAGGATATGTGTATATATTGTAAGTAAACATTGAAAATACCTTTAATGGATTGCAAAAAGGATTTGTATAAAACTAGCTGGGCAAATCCATTTTGAATTACTAGCTTATCGTATTCAGGTATTTTAGTTTATCATATTGATTATTATCATCATTCAGTAATCGAAAATATATTAAAAATGTAAATATCTATTTAATATCGAGTATATTCTCTTTTGTATATTTAAAGGAACTTGTTTAAGCTGTACCATAGATGTGACTGATATGAAAATATATTAATATTATATATACATATAATGTAAAAGAAATATAAATTGTTTTTTCTTTCATATTTGACGGTACAACAAGTTGTACCTGTGCCTTCACTACCTGGACCCTGGGCTTAACTGAATCGGAGGGGGCTGGAGTACGGTCCGGGGTCCTCTCTCCATCGCCCATCGCTCATAGCCCATAGCCCAGTAGACGTACCGCCGCGTTCTCTATGTGCATGACTGAGTGTCCGGGGTGGTGGATGTGGATGTGAGTGTGGATAAGGCGGAGGAGGAGGCGGAGGATTGCGCAGGCGCAGCTCAGCTGAGTTCGGCTCGGCTCCTGGCGGCCCATCGCATTCCGTGGCCAGTCGCAGCGCGAGACGGTTAGCCAGGTCGGACCAACTCTCTTGACTTGAACCCAACAGAAAACCAACAAAACTATCCTTTATCCTCTTCACCCAATACACGTCAATTTTTTTTACCGTGTTTTTTTGCCGTTGTTTCCCACTTGGTGTGTGTGTGTTTTGTTTGGCTTACTTGATTGAAATTGAGACAACCAGGACATCATGATTGTCAACATGCCCGTCAATGGCACGGGCAGTGCATCCAGCCCCACATCGAATCCCAGCAACAACAACAACAACAAAAGCAATGCCACCAATCAAAATAATAATAATACCACTAATAATGGTGATTATAATTTCCTGAAGCGCAAGTACGATGATCAGGAGGAACTGGCCCTGGGACAGGATTACGAGCCCATCGAGGGCAATCCCTGGAAGAAACGGCATCTGGACTACGATGTTGCCGGGGATCTGCAATTCCATTTGCAACTGGAACAGAACCCTGGAAACAGTAGTAGTAAACCACCTGCCCAATCCACAACGTCCTTTATCAACGATCTGTTTGCATACGATAGCAGTCTTTTGGTGCCCGCTGCCGCCGGCTATTCGCATTGTCCTCCATCGAGTGCTCCTTTGGAGGACAATGGCGGCTGGACGGGTGGTGAGCTCCTGGAGCTGGATCATCGCTATAACTCCGGCTTGCAGGCGGAGTTGGGTCAACTGAATGCCACTCTGCCGCCGCCACCATCATCGCAGAACAACGCACAGCAGAACCCACAACAAAACCCCAATCCTGGCCACAGTCCCAACCCGAATAATCCAAACTTCCTGGTGCCGCAGAAGCAGCGGATATTGTCGGCCGGCCGACGCACTTCCTCCGGTTCGGCGAGTGGGGGTAACGAAGTCGTGGAGGCGGATTTCGAGGATAAGAACCTGTCCTGGCTGCTCAACTTCAAGTTCGATGAGTTCCCGCACCTGTCGCCGCACAACCAGGCTCACGGACACGCCGTTAATTTGCCGGAGGGCAGTGTTCCTCAAACCAATCCTCCTAATTCCACGGCGATTAGCACATCACCCTGCAGTTCCGCCTCGCCCACATCCGCCTCCGTATCTGCCGCATCCGCCACGAACTCGAATCATTCCCTGGGATCGGGGATGATGGATCAACGGGCCAGATCGCCCAAGAGCAGCTGCTCCAATGGGGCGATGCCAACGGGCGGCGGAGGAGGAGGCTGCTCCTCTGGAGCTCCAGCTCCTTCAGGCGGCTCCACCAAGACGGGACGCAAGTTCGAGGAGCTGGTGATGGAGGTCACCTCGGAGCTGGACGGAAACGACATGATCGTCGCCGAGCACGTTGTCGTCGAGGATACATCTTCCAAGGCGTGAGTATTCCAAGGATAACATATTTATAAGCACGGTTCAAAAAAAAAAAACAGGCAACTACTCAAATAGAAATTAACATTGTTATCGTCTCATTTTTTGTTCTTTCTGCTTTGGAACACCAACTAACCCTTCCCGAATCTCTTCTTTGTTTATAAGTATTGTTACCCAATTGAGTTTTTGGGTTTTTGAGTTTGTAAAGGTGAATAGAAAATGTAATACCATGAAATCTCTGTAAATTATTAACTAATTTACTAACCAACATCTTAAATTGAATTAGCTTACTAAGCTTTTTATGATTTTTAATAGTTATAAACAAATTTAAAAAGGATGCACGCAGCATTTAGTGTTGTTGAATAGCGTATATTCAATTTAGTTTTATATGTAAATTAATTTAAGAAAGATAAAGGGCAGCAAAGAAATTTTTGACATTTTTTCTAATATTTGGTAAACCTTCTTTTCCAATTTGTGCGTTCACCATTTGCTTTTGCCGCCGTCCTCCAATCGATGCCACCGACGACGAATTACCCCACCCACTGGGTCGACGAATGAATGAACGAACGAACCGCCCAATAACTCCACCACCCAACCAATGAACACCCCAACCACCCACCAACCTTTCTGAAACCCGAAACCAACCACCGCAAAACAAGCAGGCCAAAGAAACCACCGTTCACCTACACGGAGCTCATCGAATACGCCCTCGAGGATAAGGGTGAGCTGACTGTGTCGGGCATATACCAATGGATATCGTAAGTACTAACCACTGAACCACCCACTGAACCACCCACTGAACCTCCCACTGAACCACCCACCACCACCCATTTTGATGGACGCCATTTTGTAGAGTGTTTTCCTTTTATTATTGTTGAGGGCAAAAAGCGCCAGCCGGATGCAATTAAACAAATCTCAAGCATTTTTCTTGGGCATTTCCCGTTGGCCATTTGATTTGCTCGCTCCTTTAAAAAGTTGTTTGTGTTGTGTTGTTGCTCCTTGGTTGTTAACCAAACAACTAAACAACGGCAACAATGAAAGTGCCAAAAGTTAGCGGCTCGATCAAATTTATGGGCTGGAAAATTGCATTTTCCTTGGCTTCACATAAGGAGCAAAAAATGTTGTAACACAAAACTATTTGCGGGTTGTTCAACAAGTTGTTTACACTATTTATCAGATAATGGTGAAGGTTCTTTAATTGGAACGCTATCCTTCTGTAAAGTTTGTTTAATGGTTATCAGAAATCAAGGTTTATTTTATATGTTCAGCAAAATCGGCATGCCTAATATATCATATATTGTGATAGCCTTTTCAGTTTATTTGATATTTCCATAATCATTTTATATTTTCCACAATTTCTGTTCAAATATTTAAGAAGGTAACCTATTTCTTCATATCCTTTATTCTAATGTTTACTATGTTTCCGTTTGTATTGATTTTAGCAAACAAAACTTTCAAATATTTAAACAATATTTTTTAAAGGTTTATTTTGTTGTAATTTCTATTAATTCAGGATCCTTTATTTTCCCCACCTATTTCAAAATATTAAACTGGATATATTAAGCATCTAATATATAACCAAAGCAATGTAAATATTTATAAATTTGTGAACATATTAGCCCAAACTATTTGTCTGTGAAGAGTCAAAGCTTTCCGGTTCATAGACATATTTTTTTTCGCTCTCTAGCCTTTTCTTCCTATTCTCAGTTTTTGTATTTTGTCATTACCTACTTTTTGCAGACCACCCACTTTCCCCCTCACATACTTATTTTCCCCAAACTTTTCCGGAAAATATCAATTCGACAAGAATCGTAAACGAAGAAAACGAAAACTTTTAACACATTTTTCAAGGTTCATTAATTTGGCATTCCGCCCCCCCGGACTCCTCACCTGTTCTTTATATTTTTTTTCTGCTCGGGGCCCCGGCGGAATCAGTGTAAATATTTGAAGCCGCAGCCGAGAATGTTGCGTGTAAATATCCTATATAAATTTACATATAAAACCACCCCATTTGGAATGGGGGGAGGCAAATAATTTATGACATTTGCCCATCACCTGCGCACCTCCCCTGCATTTAATGTAATGAACCGACCGTCCAAGAAGTTTCGGTTCTGTTCAGTTTGGTTCGGATTGGAGTTTGGGGAACTTTTCATTAACCATTCACAAATTTACTTTGTGGCTCTTAGTTGCAAGTGGGTGGAATAAGGGGGGTTTTCGGTTTTGTAGAGTGGGATTTTCTTTTTTTCCAGGGCCGTGTCCTCGCGCAGTCAAGGCAATAATGGCGCCTGCGCAGGGTTGCCACCCACACAAAAACCCCTCTTTTCCAGCGGCAATTTACGGAACTTTACTCGCCCACGCGACCCACGTAAACCCTCCATCCAATACCAATCCCCCCACCCCCCACCTGAATGGTTTCGCCCTGGCAATTGCCCATGAAATTTCCACTGCTCACAATAATTATTAATTGCGGGGGTTGGGGGTGCAAGTCGGGGTCCTTCCGGCTTTTCTACACCTTTTACATGCATCATTGCATCCCGGGGATCAGGTGTTTGACGTGCCCATGCCCATGCCCATGCCTATGCCCAAATACTATACAGCAATTACCTGGTTCGGGGTTCGGTTTTCGGGAGCGGGTTAAGGGGTTAAGTGGGTTAAGCGGGGGTTGCAACACGCCCCCATCTCTTCTTCCGGTCAATTTCGAATGCATATTGAGTGTTTATGGGATGCGGATCATGCTCGATCGACCAGGACATGTGGCAGGATCGACAGGATTCTCCCTGTCCGACAACCGCAACTGGGATAACTATCAAAATTTATGGGTAACGCTCACAAAAAGATAACCCTCCGACAATGCATTCCTTAATTCTTGAAGGGCACTAAAATTTAGGCATAAATTACTTTCAATTTAACTGTTTATTTTGCTTACATTTAAAATATATAATGAGTATTAAGGAGCCCCTAATAAATCCCAAGTACTCCTTAAACTTCCTTTTAAATGCATATAAAATTGATTATTTTATGTTTGGTTTTAATATTATAGCCAGTGAAATGCAATGAGTCCTTAAACTAAAGACAAATCAGATTTGCCTTGCTAATCAATAGTTGTGGAATAACCAAGGTCAACTTCGGTCTTGTCCTTACCAAATTTTGTTGTGACAAGACAAAAGATTTCCTCCTCGGGACCAAGGCCTCTCCTCCCACAACCGAAAACACACCGAATGGCAATTGTTTTCTTGCTTTTCCTCAACTATCAACCAAGATCGAGTCCGATGTTCTTGGGATAACTTTGGCTTTCGATTTACAGGCTTTTTCCGGGGGGCGTGGCTGGCCACAGTTACGCCCAGCGAGTGCAAAAAAAAAGTAGAAAAATTGGCAATTGCCATTAAAAAGTTTTTCATTTTGCCCAACCGAAATGAGGCAACTTCTACTTTCGACTCTCCTCTTGGCCATAAATCCAGGCAATTTCTTTTATTGGCCGGGCAGAGCCAACAACGAGCCGCAACAATTTATGAACTGACTAGCGCAGTGCAATAAATATATGTGTGTGCCCCCGTCCGTTCAGATATACACTATAATTTCGCATATATATATATTTATATATATATATATATATAAATACGGATCCGGGGCCAGAAGTAGTTGCCCAGTCTGGTGGCCCGGTCCTTGCTGCCATGTCAAAAAAAATGAAGCGCCAGAGTGTGTTTGAGGTGGCTTGCGTGCCAGGCACTTCCAGACACGGCCCGGCCCATTTGGGCCTTTGGGCCTCCGGGTCTTTAAGCCTCTAGCCCTAGCCTCTAGCCGTAGCCTCTAGCCCTAGCCCCTAGCCCCTAGCCTCTAGCCTCTAGCCCCTAGCCTCTAGCCTCTAGCCTGTATCCCCCGAACCACTAGCCCCTGAGCCAACCAACTAGTCCGAGCGACCATCGCAGCCTATCAGACCTCATCACGGCCCGGAATGGCTGCCTTGGAGGCGAGGCGATTGGAGTGGGACTGGATTGGATAGTCAGTTACATAGCACTTGCAATAGGGCTGGACAGCCCCACTGGTAGATGGAATAACCATTGCAATCACCTTTCAACTTAGGCTTAAATAGTACATGGAAAAAGAGAAAAACGTTATGTTCGTACACCCGAATGTATATACTACATCTATAAAATATATGGAATATTTAAGAGGTTTTATTTAAAAATAGTTCAGAAATTATATTTATGTTGTTATATACATATGCATATGGGTAGCAGTGCATGATAAGAAACAGTCTTTACTATTTAAAAATGAAATATGTTAATAAAATCACATCCATTAGAAATTCAAAAAGTAATGCCCACACATTAAAGGTTATGCTAATAAAAACATTATAACAAGTAAATGGGATAAAAGTAAAGTAAATTCCCTTTTATAAATATTCAAATATTTGTTTTACCTTTAATTTAAAACGGATTTTTAAACACACTTATTAGTTATTATCAGCAGACGGGACGGGTGAAAACTGGGCGGACATGCCATGTATTTCAACAATTTCAAAGCAGCCCTTCATAGTCCTTCTCCATTTTTGGTAGTCCCCCGAATTCAAATCCGAGGCGAGTCAGTCTGTCAAATTCATTGACAACGATGACGACGCTGATAGCGGGTATTTGATTTTTACCAAGCCCAACAAAGCCACTCAAAGCACTCCCAAACCACCCAACCACCTAAAATGTGGGTGGTTTTTACTCGCCCCCACAATATAATTCCCCTTTGAGTGGAGAGCTACGTGCTTGAAGCCACGTTGACAATTCGACAAGTGCGGCAGACAAAACATGATATACACACTTGTACCTGCATATATAATTTACCTTTCCCACCAGATAGATGGCTGTATATATATGTAAAGCACTGCTATCGATTTTGCTGGGTGCATGATTAAGCCCAGACAGTCATGCAGCTCCCATAAACATAAACTATCCCATCCGGACTATCAATGGCTGACTTAATATTTTCAAATTTACAAGTGCATGCCGCGAATCGGAAAGTGGAGAGGCTTTTGTGGGCGTTTGCGGCGCTTGTAAATTGCCAGAGTTTGGCATTAACTTTTGGACTTGTACGAACAAAAACAAGACAAGAGCTCAAGATTATTACGATTTAGAACTATTTCAAAACACAAAGGTTCTTTAAAAAAACCACAGCAATCTTTCGGACCTTTTAGGCCCCTTTAAATAGTGTCTGATAGAATTCGTTATAGATCCAAACTCTAGACACCTTTTAAAAAGTCAAAGATATTTATTGTGTTAGCTCATTTTTATATCTTTCGAATGTTTAGGTATTTAATATGTAGGCATGAACGACAAACACGATTTCTGGAATTGGCCGGATTACCACCTATGTACATGTAGAATTCTCTGCACATTTGGCGCCTCCACTACCAATTGCTCAACTCTTTTCATCAAAAACAAAAACTAAACCAGCCAAGTCATCGGCAAATGGAGTTGAATTCATTTATCTGCTTGGTATCCAAAGTTCCGACTTCGGCGAAGGCAATTTCAAGTGCCACATGATGGGTTGATGCGTCATGACGGGCTGCGTGCCAAATCCCCGCAGGAGTCCATATATATGCCCGTTTCAAAGCTGAGGGGATCCACACATCCCACACATCGCAGTTATCAGGACATTTGTGAGGGGTCATTAAGGACTTCGTTTTCGGAGGGGGCAAACGCTGGAATTTCCATATTTCATAGTCTACTCCATTTATGAGTCGTCATTTCTCCCGAAAGAAGGAAAATCGGAAAAGGAAAATACGGAAAAGCGAAAGAAATGAGGGGGGGTGGGTGGTGGATGGGGGGCTAGCTCCTCTTTTTCTGGCTCGCGTGCTGAAATTTTTGGATTGCTTTCTAGCTGAAACGTGGGCGTAGAAAATATATAGAAGAGAAAACCCGGGGGCAGTGGCAGTTAACCAATGACATAGCCTGACCCATTCGGGGGTTGTTTTTTCACCTCGGCGCGTGCCGCCCATCCATCCACATCTACACCCACATCCACATCCACATCCACATCCACCCACTCCAATCCGACTGTGTGTCGTAATTTGAAATACTTTCCATTTTGTTGTCCGCCAAAAACCCCACCAAAATCCCCACCAAAAAAAAAAACCCTCCCAAAACCCAGCGAAGAATCCTGGCACGCGATGTCCTTTCCGGTCGTCGTTGTTTCCTCTTTACATCTAAAAAGTGGTAGTGGGCTGATTGCGGGTTCTTCCACCTGATAGACATGGGGCATACTCCATTTTTTTTACTTTTTATTCATTCCATCCACCTTCCGAAATCGCCTGTTCGTGACTGACTAGCAAATGTACAGAAACGAGCGAGAGCCCAGGGAAAAAGGAAAGAAACGACGCATAATTTGTGCCAGTGTCCCTGTCCATGTCCTTTTCCGTTTTCCGAGTCCGTGTCCATGTCCATGTCCGTATTCCCCATTTAAGTATTCAACGGACTTGTGTGAGTCTGCCGCAGTGCTGTGCTGTGATGACGTGTTTTCATGGAAATTGCCTAGCTTCCGTTCCGGATTGGCTGGTCGAATAAAAGGGGGCTGAAACTTTACCAGCAATTGGTCAACTGGCCAGTGGTGAGTGCTCACATAAAACAGCCAATCCCAAAGGGACTCCTTATAATTCGATTCTATTGAAACGTATTTAAGTTGTTGATTACGAAAAAGAAGGAAAAATCTGAAATATTTGGCTGCATTTATGTACTTAACTAAACTACATTTTTTAGAACAGTAAAATAAAAACAATATAAATTACTAGGAATAATTGCTTTTGTTAATGTTACATTATATATTTAGAAATTACTAGAATTTCACCAATTTCCTAAATTAAAACAAGAGAAGATAAAATAATAAATTGAAAAAAATGTGACTTTTGCCATGTGTTTTGCTAATATTAACCTATTTTAATTTGTCGAGATTTATTATAGCATATTCCTTATACTTTTGTTGATCTTAAGCTCCTTGTTTTCCCCTTTTTCCTAACTAATTCTAATCTTGTTAGTAACCCCGCTTATTTTTTAACTTTTCAGCGATCGCTTTCCGTACTACAAATCCAATGATGACCGCTGGAAGAACTCGGTGCGACACAATCTGTCGATTAACCCACATTTTCGAAAGGGTGTAAAGGCGCCCCAAGGAGCCGGTCACCTTTGGGCGATTTCCAGCGGTGATTCGGCGGAGAATGTCCTGGCCTGGGAGCATGTGAGTGCTATTCCTTAAATCTTAAAGCCCTTTCAATAACCTTGTATTAATACCAATTAAATTGCAGAAGAAGCAACGCTTGGACTTGTTCTTCAAAATGGAGTCCATAAATCGGGAGCGCATACAACAGCACCAGCAACAACAGCAACTGCAACAGCAACAACAACATCAGCAGCAACAGCAGCAGCAGCAGCAACACTCGCCGCAGCAACATGCCACACTTCAGGCGACACAGCAGCAACATGCAACACAGGCCAGCAGTTGCTTGTACGATGAGGCGGCGGTGGCTGCGGCCACTCTCACGCAGGAAATGATGTCCAGTGGTGCAGGAGGCGGTGGGAGCGAGGCATCCCAGCAGCACCACCACAACCACCAGAGCCACCAGAACCACCACAATCATCACCACCAAAGACTGCTGCCCTTCAATGATCTGCTGAGCGACGATGAGCTGCGAAAGACGGCGGGTCAGATCCTGAATGGAATCCATCGCGAGGTGGAAGTCCAGTCGGTCAACTCCATCATCAGCACTTACCACGATGTCCTGCTGGATAATGGTGAGTATTTGGCGATTAAATTTTAATGAAATATATGCTAGATTTCCTAGATTTTTTCTTCTACAATAAGAACTAGAAATTTTGATCTAAAGTGATATTCCATGACACTATAAAAATTTTTGTTGAATTGTTATTACAATACTGTAGAAGGTTACAAATTTGTTCTTTAAATTTAAAGTTAATCTGAACACAACTAAACAAGATATGAAATTTAATGACCGAATAAAAATGTTTATTTAATTTTGTTCTCTATTCAACCAGAAGACTACCTCAATCCCATACACAAGGATGTGGTGGTCACGGAAAGTGTCCTTCGGCAGCAACATGGAAACTTGGGCGGCGGCAGTAACAATCATCTGGGTGGAAATGGCCACATGGGCGGAGGCAGTTCGCAGTACTATATCACCGAAATTGATCCCATGGAGCTGGGCATTCAGATGTCGCACCAGGTGGAACCCTCCGAGGAGGAGGTGCTCTTCAGCGATGAGTTCAACCTCAACTACTTTGGGTATAATACCGGGAGCGATATCGTCGCTTGACCGCGCAGACAACAAACGACAGCTCCTCAAGCTCCAGCTCCTGCTCCCGCTCAGCCAAGCAATTGAAAAACATATCCTGCTCGAACGATCCTGCTCCATGCCATGACAAACAATCGTAATTGTAGCCGATCTACTCATAAGCCAACTCTAAACGAATACTAGTCACACTTAAAAACGAAACAACTCTAATACATGTAACCACCTAACCCCCCATTTACCATTTACCAATTAGCCCCTATGTATAGTCTAGTCTTGAGTGTACCAATGTGCCCCATTCCCCTTTTTTTTGTCTATACTTTAGTTGAATACTTAGCCGATAAGTAGCTTGCTAGCATTAAGTATCCGTATAACTATGTATCTATCTGCAGATCTAACATACATAATTTAGCTCTTGCTCTCGTCTCCGAATATAGTTAAGTGTTTTTACATGTAGCCGAATATCCGTAAATAATACCAGACAGAATGATCTCCTCTCCTCTAACATGTTAAAAAAATAGGGCTAGAGAGCAGAGAAAGTACTACGTATCCTAGTGCCCAATCCTTACCAATGTCCGTAGAACTAATGGCACCTTACTGGTTTTATTCATTATGGCAAAATAAACCTTTTTTTTATTAAAACAATTTGACCAAACTTATATTTTTGGTATACAAAATAATTGGCAAAAGACTAGAGCCACTTGTGGGTACAAGCTTCTCTAATCCTGGTTACTACTAAATGGATATAGTTTTGTGGGGTATATATTTTATCTGATGCGGAATAAGTGCTTGAGAATTTTAAGGTTGTTTTTATTTGGTTAAAAAAATGGCAAAAGACTAAAGCCACCTGTGGGTACAAGCGTCTCTAATCCTGTGTACTACTAAATGGATATAGTTTTGTGGGGTATATATTTTATCTGATGCGGAATAAGTGCTTGAGAATTTTAAGGTTGTTTTTATTTGGTTAAAAAAATGGCAAAAGACTAAAGCCACCTGTGGGTACAAGCGTCTCTAATCCTGTGTACTACTAAATGGATATAGTTTTGTGGGGTATATATTTTATCTGATGGGGAATAAGTGCTTGGGAATTTTAGGCTTGTATCTGCGATATTTGTGTATCTTAAAATAGTCGGCCGTGACAACATCCAATTGCTAGATGGTTGTAAAAAAGGATAAACGGGCTAAGAATAAGTTTTTTCAAATTAAAAAGATCCGTTAATAATATTTGACAAAATGATCTCCTCTCTCTAATAGGCTAACAAAACTAGGGGTATTTATCCTAGTGCCCAATCCTTACCTATATGGGCAGAACTATTGCCACCTAACTGGCTTTATTCATTATGGCAAAAAATACTTATTTTTGTAGAAAACAATTTGATCAAACTTTTGCTTTGGTTAAAAAAAAAAAAAGACAAAAGACTAAAGCCACTTGTGGGTACAAGCGTCTCTAATCCTGGTTACTACTAAATGGACATAGTTCTGTGGGTTATTTATTTTATCTGATGCGGAATAAGTGCTTAAGAATTTTAAGGTTGTTTTTATTTGGTTAAAAAAATGGCAAAAGACTAAAGCCACTTGTGGGTACAAGCGTCTCTAATCCTGTGTACTACTAAATAGATGTAGTTCTGTGGGCTATTTATTTTATCTGATGCGGAATTAGTGCTTGGGAATTTTAAGGTTGTATCTGCGATTTTTGTGTATCTTAAAATAGTCAGCCGTGACAACATCCAATTGCTAGATGGTTCTAAAAAAGGATGAACAGGCTAAGAATTGGTTTTTTCAAATCAGGAAGTGATGAAAATGATCTCCTCTCTCTAATATGTTAACAAGACGTAGAACAATTGCCACCTAACTGGCTTTATTAATTATGGCAAAATAACCTTTTTTTTGAGAAAACAATTTGAAACTTTTTTTTTGATTTAAAAAATAAATCACAAAAGACTAAAGCCACTTGTGGGTACAAGTGTCTCTAGTCCTGTTTACTACTAAATTGGTATAGTTCTGTGGGGTATATATTTCATCTAATGGGGCATAAGTGCTTAAAAATTTTAAGGTTGTATCTGCATTTGTGTATCTTAAAATAGCTGCCTTAGTCGTGACTAGATCCAATTGCTAGATGGTTGTCAGACAGGGTAAACAGCATAGCTAAAGGTTTGATATTTCAAATTGTCGGTTTTGGTCGAATGTAAGTCTGTTATACCTCGTTGAATTCCTTAAAATAAATTTTTTAAAAATTTTCGAAAAAAAGCGTCCCATAGGAAAAATATTTTGTTTTTTAATCAAAGTCCTGAGAAATATTTTTCGAGTGTTTGAATGTCATACCTGGTTTAATTCGTTATAAAATATCTGAAAACGTTTAAAAACGTTATTGGCAAATTTTCGCCAAACATCATGATGATCAAAAAACAAATTTTCCAAATCAACCTAGAATCGATCGTTGCAAACCGTACAAAACAATCACTCACAAGATCCGGTGAAATTGATGGCTATAAGTAGCCATAAGATGGCTAGAACAGTCAACCTTTTTTGTCCGCCTAGAGGGCGCCTTGCGATCAGTTGGCAGCGTGCCACCTGCCGGCAGCCGCGAAAGCTAATTCAAAACAAGGTTTCTCTCTCAATTTCAGTTTTCAGTCGTTTTTAACTCTCGAAAGCGAACAGACGTGGTTTGCTCCCGGTTTTCTAGTTTTTTGATTTTGACTTTGTTTGCATTTGCTATTATCTTTGCATTTGAGTTTGCGCCGTTGCCACACAATTGTTTTTGTTGACGTGCGCGTGTGTCTTTGCGACTTTGTTTGCATTTGTGAACCTAAAATCACTTGTTGCTGGATGCTTATTCCTATTTTGGGTTTGATTTAGACAAAAGACTAAATCGCCAGTGCAATTGTGAAAGATGAAGGAAATAAACAAAAATAGTGACCAAGTTGAGTTTGTTTGTGTTTGTTGAGAGTTTTTTTGAGTTTTTGTTCAAGTGAAAGCGTGTGAAAAGTGGCCAATACACGGGGCCGAAGCCCTCTCGCACTCTCTTTTTGGCTCTCTTTTGGCAAGTAAACTCAAGACCCCGACAATCCAGCGATATCCATATCCTGCCTTGCGGCCAACCCAAAACTTCCGGTCAACATGCAACCGCAATTGTTGCATCGCCGCAGCCTCCGTCCTTCATCGTTATTATCATTATCATCATCATTTTAGCCACAGGTGTAGATCACAGGTAAGTGAATACCTTTAACCATGCCGGGTTATGACATCCAACTAATCTGATTAGGTTTTTTTGATATGTGAGATCCGAGATAATGTGGATACCCAATCCATCAATCATTCACTCAATCGCTGATCCGCCTGGGAAGTCATTTTCTTCGGTTTGTAAAGGAGAATCTTAGAGAATGGGGAAAGAAAATGGGTTTTGGATAGGTCTTACTTGACTGGTGGTCAGGGTTTCCCGTCCAATTTTCTGAATACTGATAAAAATTAGTTCCTAAAACAAAATATTACTTGGAGTGTAGGAGTATACAATTGTAAAGAAATTTGTATAAACCTTTGGTTACGTGCAACTGTTTTTAATTTGTATTGTCAAGGAAAAAATATAATTTAATTTTACTTTCATCTCCTCAATATCCTAAATCTTTAAAATACTGTATAGTTTTCTGAAGAACCAGATAAAGTTATTTCTGACTATTTCTCAAGAATTTATAAGGTCTCACACTTCTAGTAGGGCTTTTGTTTTAGTTAACTTAAAGTCAAATTTGGAGCTTGGTTCAAATTTTGACACCAAAATAAAGATTTGCAACGAAAGCCTTCAGATGCACAAAAAGCTAAAACAGATTCATGGCTTCCGAAGGTTTCTTTACACCGATTCTCTCAGTCAATTTTTTGCCGGAGAACTTATTTTGGCCTGTTCTTGTTTCACATTTTTGGCAAACGCTTTTTTGTAATGTTTGCTTAGCTGAATTTTGTTGCTCCGGCTTCTTTGGCTGTCATTTCATTCAGACAGACAAGTAGTTGGCTTTTTCGGGGTCAGCCACTCTCGATGCGATCGTATACGTGATGAACGGGTATTTTTGCCATATTTCAAGAGCCACTGATTGATGGCAAAGGTATTGCTTTAGTTATTGAATTTTTTGAATTTGTTTTTATATAAAGTTTCGCGAATGTTGGGAAAACCGCCCGTGGCAGTTTCCCACTTTGTTTTTTTTTCGCTGTCCCCAATTGCGTAAAATTTGCGTAGCTGCTGTCTGAGATTTTGTTGAGTTTTTTTTCTGTTTTTTTTCCCCCGATTTTCACCTGCTTCAGCAACGCCTTTAGGTGCGTATCTCCGTTCAGGTAATCGATGCGTTCGTTCGACTTCGCAAAATGCTGTCCCGTTAAGTGTTGTCGCCGCCAAAAGATTGTTAATTGCCGCTGTGGTCGCCAAACCCGTAGTTTTGGGGGCATTGGGGGCTAAGGGGCGCAGTCTGCGAACTGCCATGTAATTAAAAACCATCAGCAATCATCGTAGGTTGCCTACCAATTTCATATGGCGAAAAAGAAAAAAAAAAATAAAAATAAGAACGATGTGCTTCGACTTTGGGATACCCGGAAATCACTATACAAAAATGCTTTGCATTAAAAATGATCTTATAAATGCTCTCACTTGACTAGTTCATTGCTAAACATCTTTACTAAACAAATTTGTTATAATAAAACTATATTATACATTTATTTGTGTAAGTTAAAAACTACCCAGCGACTGCAATACAACCATTTTCTCTATGAAAATCTCATATAAGAAAACCCGAGGAGAGAGTAGAAGCGTAGAGGAAAAATTTTTTTAGGCAAAGTTTTGCCATTTCTGTTCAAGTTATTGCTGCTATTTTGAATTGGAGCAACAAGTAAGACACATATGCTGGGACACACAAACAAATGTCAATTTAGCAATTGTTCAAAGTAAATTGCGTGAGACTCAAACGAGTTGAAGTCGAGGCGGTTGACCTAATGCCCAACCATAGGAGTTATAACCGAAGCATAAAGAAATTGTGGATTCAAACAATTGCGAAATTTGGGGAATTATGGAACCAAGCTTAAAGAAAAACAGAAAAAGCTATTTAAGAAGTGGCAAAAGTCTTGAAAATATAACCATTTGATATATTTAGTTAAAGATCTGCAACTGAAAAGGGAACTATAGTTCTTTTTAGACAGCGGGTTAAAGTATTTTATGAATAGAAAGACATAAACACCAGCAGCAGTTTGAAAAAACTCTCGAAAACTTAAAAACTTCTGGATTCCCGCTTTATAAACGGCCTATAAAACATAAACAAAAATCCCACAGCATTATTGAGTGCAACAAGACTCCCACCAACTCAATCACCCTTTTAGCCTCTTCTAAACTACACTGAAAAAGAATCTTTTATATAAAAGTACAAAGTACTAATAAATAAATTGTTTGCATTAAAAAGCATGTTTTATCAATAAGATATAAACAATTAAAATGGCTTATTATTAAATGTAAATATAATATTTGTAATATTATAATATTTTCCTGTGTATCGACTTTCGCTTTGCTCTAAATCAAATGAAAATTGTAGGAAGCCGAACCAAA